CTGCAACCCCATTTTCCATTTTTTAGCTGGTGTACCCTAATCACCTGATTAGAGCGTTCTGTCTTGCTGGAGCTAAGTGCAATCACAGAACTACAAAAATAAGAGTACTTGTGAAAGGGAAGGGATGTTGATTTCAGTCCCTGTTCCAGATGAAATAATGCACATGAAATTGAGGCAGTTCACCTCAGGTGTTCTAAGGTTTGTGTCAAATCTCCTACTGCAATTCATTTAATCCCCTGAGCTTTGCTACTCCAGCATGGAAGTCAGCAAAGCTTTAGTGGCTAACTGGACTTTTGTCTTCTTAGACTGATGAAGAGAAGAGACAGGGTCTGCCTGTTGTAATGCCAGTATTTGACAGAAACACCTGCAGCATCCCCAAGTCGCAGATTTCCTTCATTGATTATTTTATAACAGATATGTTTGATGCGTGGGATGGTAAGTACTTCTGCTTCCTTTTTCTTCCTTGGTCTGAAGCAGATATTCCTACAGACCAAAATGACTCATCTCAAACTGGCCTCCACTTTTTTGAGGGTCGGTACCTGTATATAAGCAGTACAGCACAGGATATTGTGCAGTGATACTGCTGAAGCCCGTTTCACTGCACAAAACACACGCTTTATAAAGTTGAGCACTTACCAGGCAACCTATGTAGAGGAAGAGTAATGGCTTAAAAATAAGCTTTTTCTCATCTACGGTTTTTTTTTCCTTTAGCAATGTATTTCTTCTGAGCAGCAGAAGCTAAGACCAATGTGGTTGCATGTTAGCATAATTTAATAAAGTCATCCTGTATTAAGAAAGGGATTTTCTTGAAAGAGAAACACACTTAAAAAATCTTTCCCCTTTTAGTATTAGTTTAAGGAGCTGAAGGCACAAAAGAAGTAGGAGAATGCCAATTTCAGACAAGTTGGGCTGTTCTTCTGCCCATTCTGTATACATAGTACAACTGTTTCTCCTGTTCTTTCAGCATTTGCACATCTGCCTGTTTTGATGCAACACTTGGCTAATAACTATAAACACTGGAAAACACTGGATGATTTAAAGTGCAAGAGTCTGAGGCTTCCATCAGAAAACAACAACTGACACAAAATCAAAAAAAAGACCTCTTGCTCTACCAGTTTCACTGTGAATCACTTACGGACTCTTGGCTACAAAGGGGATGATATTACCTTTCCAGTGAATTAAGACTACGTAACAAGAAGGAAATATTTCACGCATAATTTTTAAGCTTCTCTGAATTCTACAGAAAAATGTTTTTCAATGAGGCTATATAATCCACAGACGACTAAGTGCTCTTTGGAAATAATATTTTGTGGCAGCAAATGTACTTCTGAAACTAATTTCTAATACTGAATATGCACTTGTTGAATCTTGTAGTTGATACAACTGTATTCACTAACACTTCACACAACTGTTTCTCAGACAGAAGGGCAATGTAGTCACCAGGAGAGTGATAATAGCGTGACAAATAAGCATAAAAATTTCCCACTTATCTCGTATAAATTTCTTCCAATTCTATCAATGTTCTTCAGCTCTCTGAACCATACTTCTAAAAAGAATATGCACAGTAGAACAATAAAACCTCAAACTGGATATAGTAAAAAACCCAAACCTGGCACCTTTTAAATCAACCTTCTTGTTACAGAGATTCTCTCTCAGAGCACCACCTGTTCTTTCTTTTCCATATAAAATCTTGGTAGGAGTCAACGTCCCCTAAAATTGATCATATAATGAAGGAAAATAAGCATGTTGTCTATAGCTGGTGCCATCCACATGGTTCTCTGCCATCTTACAGACATTATCATGCAAGATTTCATCACATTTTACACGAAAACTATTGTGGCACTTGATCACCATCCTTTTTTTATAAAGTGGAGTTTGTACGCATGGTCATCACTTTTATTAAACTGATCTAAATTTTATGATATGTTCATATATTGTGCTACTTACTTCTAGGATGAACCTGTTGCTTTTTAAAAAAATTTCCAGGTTATAATTTATAACAGCATTATAATTTTTACTGCTTTATCCTCCTAATAAAATGATGGTTTGTTTTGTGATGTAAAAAGTACTTCAAAATATGTAAATAAGTTAGAAATCAAACATAGTTTTCATTAGTTTTAAGATATGAAATTTATGCTAAGGCTTTCAAAGCACAAATGCATATTTTTGTACATCTCATTTTAATCACAGGCAGAACATGACTTCAAATTTTAGATTATTCTCAGATTATTCAGTTAATAAATATGAGCAGAACTGCTGATTTTTAACACTGTGCACTCCAGGCTTCAGGCAAGACTGTCAAAGCTGTGGCTGCAGTTGAAGAAGCAGTCCACTCCCCCTATGCTGTATTAAGAATCAAACTGGAAAAAGAAAAAAAAAAAGGCAAATAGCATTTAGACTGCTGTGGTAACATAGCAACAATGCTGTTTACTGCAGGTAGCTTACATAATGTGCCAACCTTTTTTGTATGTTTTGTACCAAGTTCTGAAACAAAAGGAAACATTCATAAAATGTATGTGCAGAGAAATGTATATAAGCTATATTTTTGTTAGAATTGTAACAGATCCTTACTTTTGTCATAGCTAAGGCAGGTTGCTGTGTATTAAAATGCTGCGTTGTGTATACTTGAAGAACTGTGTTTCTGGTGAAGCGTGTTTCTTCATTCCTTCCTATTATCTATGGCAACATTCTTCAATGGATTTTTATTCCGATTAGTTGAACCTCTGTTTTCTAATACTGTAAACTGTTTGCTTTTTCCATTCCTTTATTTAGAACTAGTGCTCTCAGTGGTTGTACCTTAACTATTCTGATAACTGAATGCTCACTGCAGCTTGCATTAGAGAAAAGAATTTCCTAAGATTCAAAGCTTAAGTTGTTAAATACAGCAACACTGTAAGACCACATCCATGTAAAACATTTCAATTCATAATTTTTGTCACACTTCTGTCACAAGAAAAAAAATGTGAACAGTGGAAGGAATCTAAAAAATAAAGTTCAACTTGTGAACAAGAACTGAGGCCAAGGTGTTAATGTGGAATCAATATATTTGTTGCAAGATCACGTGTTTCTTCCCAGAGTCAGACTAAATAAAAAAAGAGCAATCTCTGTGGAGCTAGGTCCTCTTTAGGAGCGAAATAAATCAGCACAGATTAATCGTCATCTGCCAGTTGTGTCAGATCTCCTAGACTAGTTCAGTGACTAACAGCTGCTTGTTTCATGCTATAGTCAGTGCCCAGATGTGTAAAACAGTCACCTCAGAGTTGTAAAAGTATTAAGAGTAGGTCTGATATTTACTTTTATGGTGTGAACATATGGAATTCTGTGTTACCGCAAGGTGGAAAAAAGTTTAAAACAACGTAAGAAGTAAACATTCTCATCTGGTCACCATAATTCTGCTCACTGCACCTCCCAACAGCAAGTGACAAACTCTCATTTAACAGAGGAATGGGACAGTATACTGTTACTATGTTCACTGTTATGCTCAAAGTTCATTTGTAAAACAAAGAACTCAATACTTTCAACTCAACCATCTTTAAAGGAAGAGACCCTTGGGAGATCTATTGCCAATGGAGTGTATCTGAGAACAATGGCACTTTTGATAGATATAAATATTTATACATGCATGTAGGACTATTTAAGGATTAATTACATCCCTGTAAATTGCACAGTGAGTTTTGTGACTAGAACTGTTTAAATAGGTCTGTTTTCCTACCAGGTATTCACTTAAAAGCAGTCACGTAAAAAGGAAATAGTTGTTCTCATGGTATAAGAGATAATAAAAATATGAGCTTTCTTCTCTCTAGCTACAATTGATGATAGCAGTATTCTCTCCAAATAATCTAATTTTTATAAGCTTTCACTTTAAAGGTTTAGTAACAATGTGTAAACACACACTTTATAAACAACTGAACAGTTCTCAATTGAAACAAGGCAAAGAGCCAAAATAAAACTCCATCTCCCCAGCTTGTGCTGGGGAAGCCAAAAATGCAACAAAGACAAGCTGAAACAATGCAGACTTAACATGCCTTTCTCTCTCCAGTTCAATACCATAAAACCAGAAGTATGTTATCCTCAGGTGTAATCCAAATGCTTTTCTTAGCCTGGTCAAAAGAAGAGCCAATCAGAGCAAAGAACATGCAGTTCAAGTTTTAACACTGATTTAACCTTCCTGAATTGAAAGAAGGCAGCAGTTTAACAATTTCCCCATCTGTTTTGTGGTTTTGAAATAAGTTATTTTGAATTCTCTACTCAAAATAAGATCACCTATAGGTAATTAGTTGACTAAGGTAGGAAAAAAATACAGCTCAAAATCTTATTGTCCTTCTGCTCTACCTTCCAGAGATTATGGTCAGACTCAAGAGGCAAAGCTTGGCTTCTGGGTAGTAGGAGGAAGGCAAGTGCCCACAGCCGCTGAAGGAAGGCAAGTCTAAAAGGCTCCTTGGTTTCTTCTAGGAAACTAGGAGCTTCCTCCTTTTGCTTCTACTCTTGCCAGGATCTGCTTAGCCCTTTGTTTTAATTGCACTTACTGCAAACACTGTATCTTAAGTACAAAGTTACACCCTTGTAGTCTCTTGTACTGAAACCAATTCTTATGGATTCAAAGGGAAGAGATGGCATTCAAAAGCTGCACAAGACTTAGTCCTAAACCATTAAGTACTGGATCTTCTGAGTAGACCTGAGGACAGTAGCACCCACTAAGTTCCCAAATTCTCCCTTTCCCTAGCTCTTCTCATTCAAATGGTAACTTATCACTCATTATCTCATTCTCCCTCATCCTTTCTTTTTATCAGTTCTGGAGTTAACTTTGCTTTTTTTTGTTGGTTTGTTTGCTTTTGGGTTAGTTTGTGGTTTTTTGGCTTTTATCTTTTTGTCACTGTATTTTGGGGTTTATGCTGCAGATTTTTTGCCATTCCTCTTTTCTGCACATAGCACTGTGGATATGCCCAACTGTTTTAGTTATGATCCATCTGAGGATTTTCACAAATCTTGACATCTATCCATGTGGGAACAACATTAGAAACTATTTAATGAGTCATCATTATCTTCAGTCTTTCAAGAGAACACCATTTCTGCTGACAGAGTAAGCCAACATGCAAAATTCTCCTTTCAGAAGAGTAATAGCAACTAATAAAATTTCCAATATAGTACATGACATCAAGTGTAAGCGTTACTGGTAGTCAGATTCCCAGTAGCTCGGGCATTGCCTTACAGTCAGGTTTAACACACATCCATATATGTAGCCTGTATTCAAGCAATTTAAAGTTTGAGCTGCAAATCACCATTTTGTGCCAATTTTTGAAATAGTGTTAAACTGCGGAGGCTAGATTCTCGTTCACCATCCTTCCACAAAATAATGAGGTGGTCAGCAGAGCATGTAACCAATCCCAGTTCACCAAAGTACAGGAACATCTGCAATGAAACAATTATTATTACCATGATGTTTGCATGAGATGGTGAACTTGCTTAACTATTTAGTTTACAGCTGGACTAAACAAATACACATATCTGAAATGGCTTTGCTTATAGATAGGTATGCAAAATTACACCGTATACTGTACATTTGAGAGGTCATAAAATCACTACACAAAAAAACTCTTTAAACAGCACTTCATACTGCAAGATCTCCTTTTTAAACAAGTACTAAAGCCTTATGGACAGAAAGCACTAAAGCACTAAAAGACAATCTTGAAGCAACTTGTTCCAAGTCAGCAACAGAGGAGTGAATGACTTGTCTGAACTCTGATCTGGTTTCTTAGGAACAGAAGCCTGTTCTGTTCATTGGGTACACTGTACCCTTCCCTACAACACCACAGACTACTAGCACCAGGCCTGGAAGGATCAAAGAGCAAACAATTGTGACAGACATCAGCACATACCTGGTCACACAGAGGAAGTCAAACATGCAAGAAATACAACACAGGAGAAAAGTACAGCAGCAGTGGAGGGATTTTGCAAGACCAATGGAGATGACAAGTCATGAGGTCATTCCTGACTTCTGAGACCTTCACAAGGCTGCCTAAAATTAACCACTAATTGCAGTTCAACACAATAGCCAACAGCGATGTCCCTATGGCACGCTCACAGTGCCCTGTCTCTTCATTTTCTTGAAGGGATCTGGTCAGGGAAAGCACTCAGGACAAGGTTTACCTGCTCTGGGAACAGCCACTTACTAGTTATGGAGTTCCAGTAGAAACAGTCTGCCAAACCCTCATTTTTGCCACCACATTTCATTACTACTCAACATTTTCTTCCTCAACAGCTCCAGTCTGCCCATAGTTTAAAAAAAAACCCATGATTTTTCATATGTAGAAGGCTGCAGGAAATCACATCCACCATCATCTTCATTACCCCTTGACTCTGCAGCATCCCAGCCAAGACCCAATATACGCCTCCCACCTTCTATGCTGCGTCCCTCGCTGAGTTACACACTATGTCCTCTTTCTTAGACAGCAAATTTCCAAGTCGATAATAAGACCCCTTTCAACCATTTTTCAAAAGCAAGATAACAGAAAGGTTCACCACCTTAGCTTTTACAGAAAAAATTTCAGGTTTTGGCAGCAGCAGTTCTGAAATCCCATCAGTCTCATGAATACTTGTGAGCAAAGCTACTCCAGAATCACACCGCTCCTCTCTATCAGCCCTTCCCCCTGCTCCTTCCAAGAATGTGTACAGAAGTCCACTGTAAGAAAGTGATTTCTTACTCCAACAGATTGTCAAACACAGAAAGGTGTGGAGGGAAAATGCCATTTAAAACAAAAACATACTATATTAGGCATACAGAAGCATGGAATGGTAACTGATCTAACATTAAAAGACCTCCTTAATGCTCACAGCACAGAAGGCTAAGAAATTACTGAATGTGTTTTGTTTCGCATAAGCCCTTGTTTAGACTGTGAACTTAAGATGAAATCTGGGTCATGCATGTTGTTCCCAATTGTACTGTCTGCAGTCTATAAAAGAAACCAAATACACTACCAGATTATCTGTAGCATGTATGTGCATATATGCACACACAATCCTCAGGCATCATTGAGCAAGCTCTCATTAGCATATTAAGTCAGTGTGTATTACTGTTTTCATACTCCACTAAATATACCACACAATGTGCTCCCAGCCTCCAGATCCAGACAGCCAAAAGTTATAGCTTTACAGCTGTTTTCTCAAATTTACACTGTCAAATTTACATTACTTACTAACATTCACCTTTTCTTGTTCTTACTAAAGCTGACCTACCTGCACAGCTGATGAATGACCAATCAAATCCCCAACCAGCTCCAAGAAATACATAGGTGTATTCTCTTGCATCTTCTTGGCAGCTTGGTTTGCCTGCTTGTTTGCCCTTCCGAAGCCCCACATGTTGAAAAACCCTGGGGGAAGAAAAGTCTCTCATTTTGGCAAAAATAACAAATACGATTTATTTCCTCTAGCTGAAGAGCCACATAAAATCTAAAACCAGGACGGTCTACATGGCAAAATGACAGAAGCACTGTACTTTGCAGCATTTTTACATCTGCATTATTCATCTTGAGGGAGGAAGGAAACACAGCTACTTGTCCTAATTAGATATAATTTAGTAAACATGCTGAATTACACACCTGGATGAGACAATATACAGATTTAAGAAGAAATACAAAAATTTCCTAAATGAACTAACTGAACAGCAAAGGTAGATGCAGGACACTGATGTTCACCTTTGCTTGTGCTCCTAAACTGTTACTCGTGCAAAGAGGAGAAAAATGAGGCACCAGTCTCTCCTGTGTGTCCTGCACTACAGCATTAAAGTGTCGGCCCATTGGCTTCTTCATTCAGATTTAAAACTATCAGACAAACTGGACTGTAAAGATAGTACTCCACTAGCACAAAAATACACAGCCACAGCCACCAGGGGAACTATGCAATAGTACTGACAGAAGTAAGAAAGTTTGGTTCTGTTCACAGTGCAGTTCAGACTTTATTCCCAATCCTTCCCTCAGCCCCATCAGCACACAAAACTAGAAGTGTGCTAAACCACAGCCCTGGAGGGAGGTAACTGGTGAGATGAACGACCTCTCAGGGGATACCTAGAATAAAAATAGAGTAAATCAACAGCAACATGTCACTGGTTTCTTTCAAACATCTTGATTCATAGAAATTATAAATTTCCAGTGTTAAGCCAAATACCACTTTTCACTGTGTAGATAAGCTGTTACCAGCAATACTGAAGACAGAACATTCCTGAAAAAAATGTTTCTAAATCAAGCCAGGCAGCAAAAATATATTTGCAAAAGTTACCAACAGGAGATGAACAGCCAGGTAGACAAGATATATCAAGAAAATTATTCACAGCTTGAATAAAAAAGTTCCTACAAGAGAGCAAGTCTACTGCTGTTCCCAGTTCTTAATACTAATTATATTGTCCAGAGCACCTGTCCAAGGCCACAACTGCCAGTGTGCAGAGAAGTTGCTGGCCTGGTCAAAAAGTAGCAAGCACTACAAAGGAACTCCTGTCACTGCTCAAGCATAAGCAGAAAATACACAGGAGACAGAAGCAGGGTCAGGCCACTGGGAATAAATAGAGAGAGACTCTCAGAACAAGCAGAAATGAGACAAGGCAGGCCATCTAGAATTAAATATAGCCAAGGATGTGAAAGACAACAAGAAGGGCTTCTTCAAATATGTCAATAACAAAAGGAAAACTATGGATAATGTGGACCCATTACTAAATGGAGGGGGAACCCTGGTAACAGAGGACACAGAGAAGGCTGAGTTATTGAGCTTTGCATCAGTCTTCACTGACAAGGCCAGCTCTCAGGAATCTCTGACCTGGGAGACCAGGGTAAAGGAATGCTGGAAGGAAGACTTTCCCTTAGTCAAGGAGGATTGGGTTAGAGACCACCTAGAAAATCTGACATCCACAAGTCCACGGGCCCTGACGGGATGCACCAGGGCTGAAAGAGTTGACAGACACCATAGCAAGGCTGCTCACAATCATCTTTGAAAGGTCATGGAGATCAGGAGAGATGTCTGATGACTGAAGATAGCAAATGTCAACCCAGTCTTCCAAGGGGCAAGAAGGAGGACCCAGGGAACTACCAGCCAGTCAGCCTCAGCTGAATCCCAGCAAAGGTGATTGAGCACCTCATTCTGGAGGACATCTCTATCCACGTGGAGGACAAGAAGGTGATCAGGAGTAGTCAGCATGGGCTCATTAAAATCATGTTTGACCAACCTGATTGCCTTCTGCGATGAAGCACTAGATGGATGAAGGGAGAGCAGTGGGTATTGTCTACCTCAACTTTAGCACGGCTTTCAACACTGTCTTTCACAACATCCTTACAGGCAAACTCAGGAACGGTGGGCTGGATCAGTGGACAGTGAGGTGGATTGAGAACTGGCTGAATGGTAGATCCCAGAGGCACAGGGTCTAGTTGGAGGCCTGTCACTAGTGGTGTCCCCCAAGGTTCAATGCTGGGCCCAGTATTGTTTAACTTGTTCATCCATGACTTCGATGAAGGGACAGATGCCTCCTCAGCAAGTTCACTGATGACACAAAGCAGGCAGGAGTGGCCGATACCCCAGAGGGCTGTGCTGCCCCTCAGAAGGACCTTGACAGGTTGGAGAGATGGGCAGAGAAGAACTGTCTGAAATTCAACAAGGGCAACACGGTGTCCTGGTGGACAACAAGGTGTCCATGAGCCAGCAGTGAGGCCTCATGGCCAAGAAGATTAGTGATATCCTGGGGTGCATTAGGAAAAGCACTGCCGGGAGGGAATGCTGGGCATGTCGAGGGAGCTGATCCTGCCCCTCTACTCAGCCCTGGTGAGGCTTCACCTGGAGTGTTGTGTCCAATTCTGGACTCCTCAGGACAAGAGAGACATGGAGCTCCTGGAGCAGGTCCAACTACAAAGATGATGAGGGGACTGGAGCATCTGGAAAGACTGAGGGAACTGAGCCTGTTCAGCCTCGAGAAGAGACAACTGAGAGGAGACCTCATCAATGTCGAAGTACCTGAAGGGAGGGTGCCAAGAGGGTGGATCCAGGCTCTTCTCGGTGGTACCAAGCAATAGGACAAGAGGCAATGGGCAGAAACTGATGCACACAAAGTTTCACCTGAGTATAAAGAACAACTTCTTTACTGTGCAAGTGACTGTGCACTGAAACAGATTGCCTAGAGAGTAATGGAGAGTTGTGGAGTCTCCCTCACTGGAGATACTCAAGTACCATCTGGACACAATCCTGTGCCATGTGCTCTGGGATGACCCTACTTTAGCTGGAAGGTTTGACCAGATGACCCACTGTGGTCACTTCCAAGCCCATTCTGTGATTCTGTGAATGTCTGTACTTGATGAAAATGCTCCTCTAACACCAGCAACCAGCCCTGAGAAATCCAATGCCCAGAGGTAGTATGCAAGTGAGGTTGTATACAGCCTCAAAGTGAGTCCCAATATCATTCCAAGTTCAAAGAGGAGATATGGAAAACACTTTCTTTTTTTTGTGCCAGCTGCTCATCTGCAAGCTTTTCTAGATTTCTGCACATAGTTCTGCAACTATTTAATCTTGCATGGTAGAGGATTCAGTACTACTTTCACCTAGACCTTTTAATGTCCCATATCAGATCTTGGGGGGCTTGTATACCCGTGCCTTCTTCAGTTTCCCACCCAGACCTGTTATCAGTTGGTTGAACACAATATATTATCTCTTCTTACAAAGCCTGAAAGCCCCTCTATTCATATATGGTGAATATTGGGTCTCCTGTTATGTTTTGAAATGTTCTTTTCATCCCCCAGTACCAGCAAACCTGTCGGAACTGGTTCAGCTGGCAGCTGCTGCTTTTCTCTGAGTTCCCAAATGCGCACACTGCCATCTTCTGAGCAGGAGATCAGCTGCCTGTAAAAAGAGTTGATAAGCAACACTAGCATTGGATACTTATCTGTGCAAATCACCTTGTGATGTTTCTATAAAAGAGACAGCAAGTTGCCTCAAACAAAGCGCATCTGTAGCAGAACAAACTATAACAGACTTGTAGAATAGGTGGAAAAATAAACATTTTCCACCCCCTTTTAAAAGCATACCACTATGTAAAACAAAACATAAGTTTAGACTCTGCAGACATAGTTCAACTAAATGGTGTCCATAAGCTTATTTTCATTAAGCAAAAACCTTTTCTTATGGAAAAATAACAAAAGGAAAGGTACCCTATTTCATTGCACACTTAGAACAGCACATGCATTTACACGATCAAGGCCCTAATTTTTATCTTCTGATAGAATTTTTCTCCATTGAACAAGAGTATAAAGGGATCTAACACAATTACTATTAGAATACACACACATATATATATATATATATGCAGCAAATTGTCCAAGTTGGCTCTCAAATCAAGATCCCGCTAGAAATTCAGCACTAATGAACAAAGGCTGGAAGTTATTACTTTTTGTTAAAACATTTCAATTGTTACAAAATATTTAGTGAAAAATATTTACTGAATATGCCACATGCCTTTCCTTTACAGAAGTAAAATGCCATTAAGCTGTATTTTCACAATGTAGACAAAAGTGCTTTATCAGGTCTGATTTTGAAAATAGCTGAGATATTTTCAGCCTGTGTATCAGCCTGGATATACTGGATTATATTTCTTTCCTGTTGAATTACAATGATGAATTTTCAAAAACCAGATCAACAAGCTCTACCTAATTAAAGCAGATTAAACTGCAGATAAGTCCCTGCCCTAGAAATTAGATGCAGCTTTGCAGTCTCTAGTCACCCTTCCAAGTTTTGCTTTTCTTTATTGCATTAACTAAATGTACTATGACTTGTACCTGTTGGGAAGCTTCTCGATGTGCAGCACAGAGGAGTCGTGAGCAGTTCTCTGGCAAGCAATCACACACTTCATTTGAAGATTATATACGTATATGCCTTTCCCAACAGCAGCAAACACACACTGGAAAAAAAATTCAGTGGAACAACTTGCAGAAACAGATACTGAAAAATCATCCCACATGTAACAGATTTCCAGAGATACTGTGATGTCATCTAGCCTGCACTATCCAGCTTGTTTCTGTCCTCATGTTGCTGCCTTATCCCAAACATATGAAATTAGTAAGTCATAGATAAAAAATATGGATTTTTTTTGAGCAAAAGTGCGATATCCTCCTATACTCTAAGCAGTTATTTAGTGTCTGTATTTTTAACCTGTACCTTACAGTCGAAGCAGTAATCAAGGATACCAACAAATCAATACACTTCTGCAATTAAACATTTACGTTCTTACACTAAAATAATGCTCTGTGTTTTGAAAAACTTGTTTTATCAAGAAAGCCTGAGAATACAGGAAGCTGTTCTGCATTTTTGCCTCTTTTTGAAATTTAACTGAAGCTGGACAAGGAGGCCTTGTTCTATTTCAGCTCTACTGAGTACAGAAAAGGAACTCTGTCATAGGAAAGTACTACACGATAGTGCATTTTACATTCAATGCTTTTCTTCAGAAGAGTGCAGGCATTCCATCTCACAACCATCATGACCCTAAGAAGCTAGAAACAGCTTACACATCTTTGGACCTGGACCCTCTTGTGACTTGTGATGATCTTAGAGTGGGCAAATGTACTATCATATGTATGTACAGATGATTAATATTCAATAACCAGGAGGGTGCAAAATGCTTCCATTCAGTTCATTTTTGCAGTTTTGAACGTACCTTGTTTAGGTGATGTATGCTGGAACATTTCCCTGAATGGCCTGCTTTCACTTACACAACCCAAACATCAATGTCTCATAATCAGTTCACACTACACATCTGTCAATATTTTGTAAAAATTGTAACCCACTGTCTTTGACTAAGATTTTATATATTTATATACAATGATGTTTTGACACTGTTCAAAACTCTTTATCCAGGTTTTTGTTCAGAGTTTTGTTTTTTTTCTTATGCACATCTGTTGTGGAAGCACTGAAACTAAACAGATTTCTGATAGCACCATTACCAAATCAAGAGGAAAAATAACCCACTGAGCCAATTTGTATTATTTTCCTAGTTTTGTGTGAGGTTCAAATTCAGTGACCTTCCACATCACTCTTCCACCAAGAGTCACACAGTCTTAAAGCTTTGCAAAAGATGCTTTTCATGGAGCACTCTTCTTTTTTCACAAGCCCTGGCAAAATCCTGGTCATCTCAAACCCCAAGAAAATAAAAGATGATGAAGCATAAATTGTACATCTATCTTAAAAGGCAACTAAACACAAACACATGCTTATCAGGGCACCAGACGCACTCCCTAGCACTATTTCCCAGTATTGCCAAAGCTATACCACTCCATTTGTTTCTGAATCACGTTTTGCCTACAATCTCAGTGTCAAACTAGACATATGCATCTTCTCCAACCACCCAACTACCAAGCCTGGAAAACAGAGAAAACACTTATTTTGCATTATTTTTTTTAACATGAAGAACAGCGTTCTGCTATTAGGCTGCAGGTAACAAAGTAATACCTTATAAAAACACATTTCTTCACCACTTTTTAAGTAGGAACTTTACAATACAGACAGCTCCGCCTTAAAACAGCTTCTATTTCAGGATTAACGCTAGAACCATCTTTACTTCTCACCATTCAAAACTCTCACAATGAATGAAATTCACAGCAATTTGTTTAGTTCAGTTCCATGCATGGAAGAAAGCCTTCAGTAGCCTCAGATTCCACATTCAATGTTACAACAACTTCTGACCTTCTCAAAATTCTTTTCCCCTCCCTTAAAACACATCTTGTGTAGCTTTCAAGCAGAAAATCAAAGTATTTTAAAGCCATATTACAGATTTCACCCTAAATAAAATTTGCTTTTGGCTCATTGTAGAAATAAGCGTTGATAACACTGCAAATCCTACCTTTAGATATAACCACATCTTTTTTTCTGCTCACAACCCACAATGTTTCTCTCTCCAGGGTTTTGGGAATTCAGGCTTTTCCACAGCTTTTATTTTGTTATAGCTCATATCTCTGAATCCATTTCCAGGAATCCCTTTCTTAATCATTCCCCAGTAACTGACCTACGTGACAACTATGAAACGTCTTTTACGTTGCCACTAACAGTTGGTAACATTTCACAAAAGTAAGTAATAACCTGACAACTTTTAGTGTTTGTTGAACAATAACTGGGTTCTGACAGAGTATTCCGATCAAGAACTTATGTCCAAAGCATTATTACAGTAGCCTGGATCCTGGACACATATTTGCATATACAATTGAGTATGGCCCATCTGAACAGTAGGAGCAATATTGATTTACTATTAAGCATAGACATATGCCTATTCTTAAATTCACTCCATAGTACCTTCAGATAGAAATGTTCAAAGAGGTGCATTATTGTGAAAACTGCATTTCCAGAAGAATGGAATATGAAAGATGTATGCCATAAAAACATACATGTCCTATTTATTTTTTCTCTAGTGGTACTATAAACAGCTAATAAATCTTTGTCAGTCAAAAAGAAATGCTGTTGTTGAAAGTCCATTATGTTAGTTCCCAATACCATCAACATATTATAACCTTCAGTTAGCTCAACAACTAATATTTTATATAAAAAGTGTTGACTGTATAAAAATAGCTGTGCACATTTAGAAGAAATCTCTCATATTAAAACAAGGAAACTGAAAACACAAAGCAGTTGGTCTTCTGTGGTAAGGTCATCCTAGCTTACTTGAATTAGTTTACTGTATTTAAAGCTTTTTACCTCCTCATCAGATGTTAGGTGTTGAACTGAAGTTTCATTTGGGCTTTGGGATAACTTTATTTCTGGCTGTACATCTGGATGGACAGAGGAGTCCCAGAAGTTGCACTCAGTTGCCTGCTTTGTCCAGTCAAGTGCATCCCAAACTATTAGCTCACCTACATGAGAGCCTGTCACAAAAGTCAATTCTATAGGGGGGGAAAAAAAACAATATATTGAAAAGTGACATTTCACACAAAGTTACAACCCTAGAAAGGTAAGAGTGCTCGTTTTTGTGTAAAGCTATGTAGAACGTGCAGTACATAACTGACCGGACTAAACCCCCCTCTCTTTGAGTAAATACTCATTTTATTACCTAGCACAGCTCAGACGAGCAAAAGGAGATGAGCTCTCCTGTAAAATTAAAACTAGGAAGGAGAACATTCACTGACCACAGTGCACAGTACTGCGTAGCAAAGGCAAGGAACACCACCAGAAGTATGTACAAGTACTTGAACTCCATTTCTACATAAAAAGCCCTTCTATTCCTTGGATAAGTAGGTGTTTGGACACCCCTCAGAAGCAACAAAGTATGTCTATGCCATAAATAGAACTACAGATCACAAATTAAGTGGATGGCAAGACTGAAGTAGCTCGTCATAAATTTGTTTTTCATACCTGGGAAGGAACCACTACAGCAATATTTAATGCAGGTAGCACATTGTCTCTTCAAGCCAAACATTGCTTGTTCTTTGTAATCCAAAAGGAGACAATAATGACAACAGATACACCCAAGGACAAATATACAATCTCTATTACACCAGTAATAACTTGTTCTGGATTCTCTGGGTGCTCCATAAAAAAAAAGGCAAGAACAGAGTAGAAGGGGCTGAATTTCAGGTAATAGCTCAGTATTGCCCTAATGAGCAGCAGAGACTGTATCATCTTCCAGACCCTCTACAACCTCTATGCAGGCCCACAACTGCACACTCAGAACCTTCACTTACCTTGGGACAACAACTGCAAGGAACATGTCCTCGCATATCCCATTTTAAGAGTCAGAAGGAGCAAGGGGAAAAGTAGCATTTTTAACTTTTCTAACAGAAAGAAGACCCAGAGCTCCATTTCCATCAATGACATTACCTCTCTTCAACACTGCAACTTGCCTGGTTTCATCTCATTGTTAATCCATAAACAATGCAATTATATTTTGACATGTCACTACCTTTGCAGCTACACAAGATAGTACATCCACTAGTTAAGTAGTTTCACTCCAGTTAAAACTTTGGTCCCAAAAAAACTCCATAGGTTTATCCCACTGGTAACTAACAAAAGCAGTAACATAATAAAACGACTCTTACCATTGACGCTGACTAATGACAAAATGTTATCCTGATGGTCAACAAGGCGCTTTACTTCAAGGACATTCCAACCTTCAGACTCATTGTTAGAATCAGTCAACCTAAAAATTACTTCAAAGAAAGAGAAATTGTCTAAATAAGCTCTTTCATTCAGAATAAGATGGAACTATACTTAAATAAAACACATCATTTTCAGAGAGGGACAAACTAAAACATAAGTGAGACAAGACTTATGGTCACTCATGACATCAAAAAATGGGAATGAATTATTTCAGTGTTATCATTAAGGCCTCTTACTACAGCAACTCTAGGATAAAACATTTCAGCCTCGTTACTCTGAAATGTACAGAATTGGTCAACATCAGAAGCTGTGGAAAGCAGAAGTGAAAAGTATTAGAGATCTTTATGGATAAGTAAACTAAAAGTGAAACACTTCTTGAGGACTCATCTCACTGAAAAATGAATATTCAAAAGGATGCAATATTCTCTAGTAAGACAATTGAGATTGTCAGGAATTAAGACTTTATTTTAACCAGTCTTGGAATTTCTTTTCTATCTCAAGGGTACTGCAAAAGAAGTGTGGGAAGTTTAGATGGAAGTTTGTATTGTACCCCTATGTCTAAACACAGGAGGACTATTCTTAATTTGTTCCTGATTCTTTGATCAAAGTATCAGGTTGCTAATTTTTCAACTAAGTATTTAATCATCTTGAGTAACATCTGCTTTTTCGCTGATATAATGCTTTACTTTTGCTCCTGGATTTTATTCCCTATTTTGAAACTTCAGTAATTTTACTAAGCACTAAGACTCTCCACCAACAGCTAGCCAATGACTTCCAGTTTGCATACATACATAATTCTGTCTCCAACTGAGCAAAAGAAATCATCACACTGTCTCATTCTGATCCTGGGATAAGGAGACTCTAGAGAAGCCTAGTATCTGACAGCTCAGATAAGCAGTCCCAGACCTTCTGCACTAGGACAAATGTCAATTGCCCCAGTCAGATCTGGACAGGTGGCATTAACACTGAGTGAGCTGGTGAAGGAGCTCGCCAAGCCACTCTCTGTCATTTATCATCAGTCCTGGTTAACCAGGGAGGTCCCAGTCAGCTGGAGGTTGACCAGTGTGACATCCACCTACAAGACAGGTCAGAAGGAGGATCCAGGGAACTACAGGCCTGTCAGCCTGATCTCAGTGCCAGGGAAGGTGATGAACAAATTACCTTGAGTGTGATCACACAGCACATCCAAGACAACCAGGGAACCAGGACCAGCCAGCATGGGTTTAAGAAAGGCAGGTCCTGCTTGACCAACATGAGCCATCAGTGTGCCCAGGTGGCCAAGAAGGCCAATGGCATCCTGGCCTGTATCAGCAGTGCGGTCAGCAGGACCAGGGCAGCGATGGTCCCTCTGTACTCAGCACTGGGGAGGCCACACCTCAAATCCAGCTGTGTTCAGCTCTGGGCCCCTCGCTTGAAGAAGGACATTGAGGTGCTGGAACACGTCCAGAGAAGGGTGAGAGAGATAGCAAAGGGTCTGGAGCACACGTCTTAAGAGCAAGGAGCTCATGTTGTTTAGCATGAAAAAAAGCAGGTTCAAGGAGACCTTATCACTCCCTAAAGCTACCTGAGATGAGGTTGTGGCGAAGTGGGGACTGCCATCTTCTCCCAGGTGACAAGTGACAGGACAAAAGGAAGTGGCCTCAAGTTGCACCAGGTGAGGTTCAGGTTGGATATCAGGAAGAATTTCTTCACTGAAGGGGTGGTCAGGCATTGGAATGGGCTGCCCAGGGATGTGGTGGAGTCATCATCCCTGGAGGTGTTCAAGAAATGACTGGACATGGCACTTAGTGCAATGGTTTAATTGACATGGTGGTGTTGAAGGTTGGACTTGATATCATGAAAGTCTTTTCCAACCTTAATAATTCTATGATTCTAAATATAGAAAAGTTTCATCTGTAAGATTCCTCAATGAGATTAGTACTGTCTCCTCTTTGTAAAGAATGGAAAAAGAAGGTTGTTGATCACACTCTAATACCATTTACTTTTCCTATACAATTCCAGCAGTGTGTTTTTTACACATATCTCTGATAAGCAGCTGTTATAGAGGAACACGAACACTTCACATAAATGCAACATACTCACTTAGCTCTTTGCCTACAGCTGCTGCAACACAGTTTTTGGGCAATTCAACCAAAGCACTGATACCTTTGGAAAAAAACCAGAGGATAAGGGAGAAAAGGATAACCACTGGTTATAACACAGCACACTGTTAATTCCTCATTAATAAAGTTCTTAGCAATCTTCCTTCCACTTGGAAATTATAATCAAAACAGAAGCATATTGCCTGAAATAAAAGTTAAACGGCATCAGAATTGAATAGATTATCTTAAACAGAGGCAAGGTCAGGAGTTTTGGTCCCGAATCAAGCAGAATTCTGGACATCAAAATTGCAGTGAAACTGAAAGTAAATTATCTTTTTATTTTAAATACAGTTAAGATATTTATGTCCTAATGCTGGACAGTATTAAGGACATCATGGTAATTATTAAGATTCTAAACAAAATTATTAGTACCAAAGTTATTATGGACATACCTCAATACACACAATTCTAAAATACTGTGCAGAGCCAGCTGAAGAAGAGTAAGGTCTCAGATAAAACGTCCAACTTGCTTTCTGTCTTAATTGTTAGTCTGTCTTAATCCTGCACAGAATTTTCCCAGTCTGTGCCACCACACCATTAAAGAAAAATTCCCCAAGGAATAAGCAATCTCTTTCCCCACAAAGGAAGCATGAGATCAGGATAGAAGACAAGGCCCATGCTACACATCCCATTGACTCCTTGTACCAAAGTTTCAATAGCACTTCACACAAAGCACCACAGCAACACTACCAGCTGGTATTTACCATAATACTTCATAATATTTCATAATCAATGCTTTCAAAAGAAGTATTAATACCCTCAAAGATTCAGAAGGTTTTGCCTACCACTACTCTATTCCATGACAAAAATAAGGACAATATTAGTTCCACCTTTAAATGTGATTCACAGCTTTACAGGTATCTTGGTAAAGCGCAGCAATAACATGTGACAATTTTCTTCATATGGACATACAATATATAAGTTTATTAATATACAAGCATGATTGACATTGATATCTGATTACATTTATTATATTCCTATCAAAACCTGCATTTTCTACATAAAAAGTACTGATTCTTAATAATAAAAAGTAATCTCTACTGTTCTACTTCTACAAAGCTCACTTAAGAATAATAGAACTCCCACTCAATCACACAAAAAGCCAGTCGAAGAATCTGGTACATGTTACAGCAAACACATACAGACCAGCATCCAAGGTCTATCCCTGTAAGTCCAAGCTACTGTACAGTTACTGAGATCTGACATATTCTAAAATTCACACAGGACAGGAGATTAAAAGCAGTCTTAATTCTGAAACTATTAAGTCTGACATTTAAAAAAGAAGCAAGTGGCTCTAATAAAGAATGTTATAATTAGAATTAAAGGAAATTTGCCAAGTTGGTTTTGCATCATTATACAGATCCATTTTACTTGCACTTTAACAGCTATAATGAGTTATTTACATTTTTACCTGCATCAGTAAGATGACTGGTCTTACACAAGAGATCTAATTTTTGGTTCCAAACACATAGATCACTCCCTCCAGACAACCATACATCCAGTCTTTGAAGAACTGTCAAACACTGCAGAACAAAAATCAGATATATGTCTCCTGCAAAAGTTCTACAAAGAATTTCTCAGTGAAATGATCATGAGCTTTAGTTAAATAAATCTGTAAGTACTATGAAGCACAGTATCAAGGTATCACTTCCCTGAGAAACACAAATTTAATTATGTGCTACATTTTTCATCAACAATGCAAAAACTTATTTTTTCATTGATTTTTTCCCTACTATTAAGAGTCAACAACTAATTTAAATGTAGGTTGTCTTTTGCAACACAGTAACAGAACCAAGGCATACCAGTTACCTTTGTTCTACATCCTTTCAAAAAGAAAATTGAGGTATTAAGAGTTAAAAAAACAAATTAAGATTTACGCCCACTTCTCAGCCACTCATTATGTACCACTGCTTACGCTAAACATTGCTGTTCATTTTAACACACCTGCCCATAGGACCCACAAGCCATACATAATAATTATTGATTATAACAAAATAACAGACATTCATACGGTTTCTTTAGCATACCTTTACAGTAGAATGGAAACATGACACTTTCTGAACCTGTCTGCCACTAGTGCAGTCCCAAACCTGTCTTTATTCATTAAGGAAACTGAAAGGTTTCTATGCATTATAAATATAAATGCTGTGTTTGTGACAGATTAGGAAAGAGGTATGCAGAGTCTCAGTCTTCTAAACTCTGTCTTTTCAATATTTGGCCTAAATGGCATATTAATAAAGGTCTGTTATGGATTCATTTTTGTAGCAAGGACTGCATCTACTTGTGAGCAATAACTAGTAAAACTCCTGTGTAACCCAATTACACCTAGTGGGTATTATTGGCCAATACATCTTGAGACAGTCTGCAGCCTGTCTCAGTGCTACCTTTAAAAGAAAAAAACACAAAAAGCTGATAGATTTTTGAATATTCTCCAGATCAAAGGATACAATAACTGTTCTATCAGCTGAGGCTGTTATAATCAAATGTCTATTTTCTTCAAAAGCATCTGACGAAGAAAATGGTGCTATAGCTGTAATTTTGTGTGTGTGTCCATGAAGTTCAAAAAGTTTTTCTCCAGTCTGAAAAACAAAACCATGGAAAACTAAGTGTAAAACATGGAAAATGCCTACTGTAGCATAAAACATAGATACCACATGACTTTTGAAAGCAAGAATTTTTAAGAGTCTCAAATCTCCCTTTCTAAAGTAACTTATGGATTTGCTTCTTACTACCTTCAATGCCATTCAAGATTAAATAAGATACTAAGCGTAGGTTTAAAGGACATAACACAAATTACTCTCAGAGTAAAAAACCCTCTAAAAGCCCTTAAGACCGAAATTCTGTATTAAGTTCATTTAATTTTAACGCAAATCCTGGCCATTCACCCATGAATACTTTGGTAATTCAGATTTGTTGACAAACCCTCTCCTGAAAAAGTAATTTTTTTTTTAATTATTAGAAAAATTTGACCTATATTTATGGCAAACACAGTACTGTCAATTTCCTGCCGGCTTTATTTAGTATGTACATCATCTATAGATTCAAGATGGTGCTTTAGACAACTGGAGCTACATCTGCTGTGTGTAGATGGCAAAACTCCACAAACAAACATACAGAAGCATACTGGCATTTTAATCATGCAATTAAAATACAGGGTTATTTTAGCTGCAAACTTCTTTACAGTTGTGGGTTAATGTTTTAAATTAATAAAAATCCTACAGAAGTAGAAAATGGAACTCAGTTCATAAGCTGAATATCTAAGTGAGTTTTACACTCACAAACTGCTCAGAACACTGGGTATATATATTCACATATATGGGGTTTAATATTCAAAACCCCTTTACTTTTCCAAATTATAGAATTAAAAAAATCACAAAAGGCCTTCAACTACAGCAAAGCACTAACTGAAAGAGAAATTTCAAGTCTCCCCTTCTGTATTTTAAAATTATACCATCATAAATGTCACATAAATTTTTCAGAAGATTTTTAAAAAATTTACAGTCTGAGGTTTTTTCTTCCTCAATTTGAATGTTTGATACACATTAGACAGTACAGCATGTCTCCCCTTCAGACTTCTTATTGAACAATGTAACCCATATACCAGACCTCCTTAACACAGGTCTAATGCTCATCCCTTCTACAATTTTATCAATGATACAGAGACACAAAGCAGAAGACTAGAACAGCAGGTGTCACTAACAGAGCACTATTTCCATGATAAAACTAATGTCTTTGTAAGGTTTTCAAAAGTTACAAGAAGATTTTTATCACAGCAAGCAATTAAGGCCCTGTTCCTGCACTGCATGAAATGTTGAACTTCTACTCACTTTGGTATCTTTCCAATAGAGTTTTGTGCTAGCTTGCCATTTAGCCTAATTAGTTATACTACAAAGAGGTATTACTAGTAAAGCTACTGAAATGTACTTAAAACTTAAGTATATATAAAAATCCTGGCAGGTTTGGGATCTTCTTACACATTTGTTGAGTTACTAGTCAACATTTTGGTGTTAACAGCAAACACAGAACACACTTTTAAAGAGTAATTAAAGGCACACATTCATACACACTTCCGCTTTTAAACATCATCATTTCATCTAAAATCTCTCTAAAATCAGTATGTCTTCCAAAACATTCTAACTTTCAAAACTTATCCTTCTCTTGAGTTCACACAATTTTTAATACTCTAACTCTCCTCTGTAAACTAAAATTTAACAGGCTCCCTCCACTTGTACATTTTCAAACAGCTTTGCAGCAACTCTTAATTATTCTGCTTTTTCATTTCTAGACACTTCTAACTCCTCTCCACAACTTCTACCCTCTCCAGAATACACAAGCCAGCCCCCAAAAAATCACCTAACCTGAGCATTCCATAGACATACGATTCCATCATCTCCTGCAGATGCAAACCTGAAGAAAAAGAGACAAAAAACCACAACAAACTGAAAACTTCAATATAGCATAATAGAAAAGCAGTTACAGAAGAAAAAATACTTACAAGATATATCAGACTCCGTCTTTAAAGAATAAACATGTATTTGTAAGTCCCAATTATAGTTTAAAAACTAAAGTCAGTACATTTGAATAGGTATTTATCAACATATACTTAATATAAGAACAAGATGCAGGAATTCCGATATGTACTATTATAAAAAGAACCCCACATAAAAGAACCAATTCTCTTGTTTAAAAATATGAGATCTGAAACACCAAATAACAGTGAACTCTAAAACCAAATACTATTAGTCAGAGTCAACTATAAGACATCTAACAAGTTACAAACCACTTGTCTGGGTTCAGCCCAGGAACAGAGTAGTCCAGTATTTACCATAGTAATTTAGAGTGTGGCTTAAAAGAACTTCGAAGGGCGGCACATTTAAGGTGCTAAATTTGACTTCTGATAAAAATCCACATGGAAGGCATACCACATGAGGAAAACACAAGTTCCAATTAGCATGTTAATGTCACATGAACCAAATCTGACTTGAATTCAATCTTTTTCTCTAGGTTAGAGTGAGTATCTAACCATCTGCCTACTTATTCTCCTTATGGGACACCTGATTCTTTTCCAGTCAAGATCACCATCATCTATAACCTTGTCTGTTTCCTGAAGGAGGAAGGAATGGTCAAATGAGCAACAAAAAAACTGTTCTTAAAATGTGTTATGAACTCTGTTTAATTTAATGTATCAAATGCTAGGGCGTTACATGCAATTTTATTTCAGTCCACTTTTTGGAAGACTCTTGCTCAGGCTTAGTCTTCTTTAGTGATCTTCTAATCAATATGACCCTTACTGCATGTTCAAAAAGTACAAGAGCAAAGAAGAAAGAAAAAAAAAGAAAAAAAAGCCCACCGGCTTTCTGTTACATTCATATAGGATTTATTTAGTATCTTCAAAAACCAATCTGAGAAAATTTTCCACTCACTGGTTTTAGCTGAGCCACTGAGAAAACAAGAAAATCCTTCTGCAAAATTCTCACTAAGATGATATTATCTAAAGACCTGAAGCGTGAAATTTGGCTTACAATAGTTGACAAAAAGCACACAATGGAATAGCTGCAGAAACTAAATAAAAACATTTCAGAATCTGAGTAACAATACTAATTTTACTGAAAAGAATCAAGTGAATAATATTATCAGGTGTTTAACAATCCAGAAAATACCATATTCTTGATAAATAAAAACTCAGAATTACTGTCCAGTGAAGCAACTCTATTATAAACTCCTCAAACTCTCAGAATGTTAACCAGCTATATAACTTACTCCCTATCCATATGCTATTTTACAGCCTATATTAAATGCAGTCACCCAGACTTTAGCTTTACAATGATTATCATTAGTTTAGCTTCAGTAATTTACCTGCCACCAAAGAAAGAAGCCCAACATGGTAAACAGTTTCTTTGTATCACATAGCAATTTAAGAATACTCTGGTATTTCTACAAAAATCAATTACCTCTATTCAGTATGTGTTTTGAGAAAACATACTTTGAGAAAGAGTTATTTTAATAACTGGTCTGGGTAAAAAAGGACGGAAAAAAAGCCACAAGATACTTCCATTTTTGTAGGAATTTTCTGGTGGACTACTACAATGCAGAAAAATAAATTTTACGGTAACACATGTAACTTTTCTAATATATATATATTTTATGACATTAAGAATAAAAACTGACATGCTAAAGATCCTCCATGGAGTCTTCTGTGAAATTTATATATATATATTACGAACCTTATTAGAAAACAGGATTCTGTGGGTATTTCTGAATTGGAAGAGACCACCTGCATGATCTCCTCCAATCAATGTGAATGGGGAAGGAGAGAATCTTCCTTCACAAAACACCTGCTATACACTGCTAGGATTAACACAAGCTGTTATCCATGTTAACTTTGTGTAGTGTATTGATGAATATATTAGAAAGTCCCTTCTGAGTCTAATCCATAAAAGATATAAATTACTACAGCTGCTTAACAGAACTATTCTTGCCTATTACTTACATTCTTAATCTCTAAACGTTTTCTATTTTATTCTCCACATCAGCCAAGAGTCACTACATTTTATTACTGACTAAAGAATTCACAATCTTACTTTTAAGGCAGATAATTATTTCTTCTCTTGTAGGATTAAGTATAATTAAAGAACATGCAAGGTTAATTTAGAGAAAACTAGAATAGAAGCCAGGTTGTAATGTACAACTATCATAATACATTCTCTCAGTCACATTTCCAAAGTGACAAAAGTAAATACAATTACTTCATCTCTGCTCAGTTTTCCAGTTTTTAGATAACTCTGTCCTCAGAAGATATATAATTCAGTCTTCAGAAGAATAGAACAGATAAAGATTGTCAGGGAATATACAAAAAACTGCACATAGCTGAAAACTGACCAAGAGAAACAAAGGAACAATCAGGTTTCAAAGAAGTACAGCAAGTTGAATAAGATCAAATTGGAAGAGAAATGAAATGCAGAGATTAGGCATGTGATGAATTTTGCTAAGCAGTCATTCTGAATAAAGTGATGAAAATTTCAATATTTGAAAAGTTAAAAAAACCTGCATTAACTAAAGCTCAAGTGAATTAAGTACTATAGCTTTGGAAGAAAGTACAGCAGAAGATGGGAAAGAAAGGAACAGCAACCATAGCTCAGTATTGTTGAAGATGTCATGGCTAATTGCTACAGTGTATCTAAAGGAGCCTATTACATTCTTTCATAGAACCAAAAGGTGAAATAACAGCTATTCTCAATTCAGAAATGCAAAACACATGTATCTGCTCAGAGCAGAAGCAGACACTACTGCATGTTGTCCCGTGAGAAAGAGTTCATATGCATGTACAGAAGGGAACACTCAAATAGGAACAGACTAAAAAGAACATTTCTTCCTAACAAGTGACTTGGCACCAAGAAACGTAACTCATTCACCATTATTTTCTCATTAAAGTAAACCTTAAAAGAGAAGCCAAAAGACCCAAATATTTTCTGAAGTATTGCCAAGGACACTGTGAAACAATTTGAAATGGCATTTCATACCTGCAGTCATCTATTTGCACTAGAAATCGTACTATATCTTGATGACCTTTCAACACAAGGAGCTCCGTGTAAGGATTCTGTGTTTGTTCTTCACCAACTGTCTGTACAGAGGATTTCTAAAATTCATAAAAAATTAGTTAAATTTATTTGGTACTGACATAATTATTTTCATCAGGTCTTTGTAACTTCTAACAATCTACACTCAAGTGTGAAGTTCCTGAAATACCATTTTGCCTGAATCATTACAAAATCATTACAAAATATAATTTCTTATTATTTCAAGTAAATAATAGCTTTCTATTGCATGCATTTTAAATTATAATGTGGCATTTTCTATTTAACAAAATATTTTGTACCGCTTTAATCGCTGATACAGCATGATGAAAACCCAGTTTAGTTATGAGCTGTCATGTGGAGCCAGCTTCATGACTCAATTCACCATACACTCAGTTTTTCATTAAATTACACATCTTATGAGACATTTGTGAACCTTTCATATCTTTCATCTGCTGTTCAATTTTAAAATCCTATATAAAGACAACATATTTAAAACAAATATGAACAAATGCTGTTCTGTTACATAATATATAAATCATCCATTGCTACTCTATTCACAAAATACCAAAGCCAATCGCTTAAAAAATGTAGAGAATGATTAATCATTTTACAGAACAGCATTTGCAATTACCCCCACCTAGACTATTAATTAAAAGGACAATCAATCACTTGGAGCAAGCTGATCATCAGGCAGGGTCAATAAAATACTGCACAGAACTGCAGTTTCAAGGAATAATAGTTCTGTCAATCTCAATCATCAGTTTGTTTCAAGACAACTTTTTTGTAATTAATGTCTTACACATTCTGGAACAACCTACTATTAGACATTATTTTTTAAAAAACAAAACAGCTCAATAGTAACTCAGTGGCAGCTCTCTTCTCCTTCTGGATTTATTTTACACGACAGTCAACATCATCTTACTTCCAAAATTGTCTCTCCTTTGAGGACTTCAACAGAACCTACACCATAAAACAGTAACTACAGAACACTGTACACCACACAGCACACATGACAGGTAATACCACAGCAAAGACAAACATATTATCCTCAAAAATTTGAACATCTTCTTGCTAGATTAATAAATTATTTCCTATTAATAAATTATTAATAAATTATTTCCTATTACTTTGATATTGGTACTATGATACTATTCTTCATAAGCTAAGAATGACAAGGTGAAAAAATGGCGAAAGAAACCTGTGTTTATTTTAAAAATTAAGAGTTCTTAATTTTTAAATTAAGTTCTTGTGATTTTATCTTGGTTTTGTGTTATCTGATTAATTTCATGAAGCAACTGTTCCTCATTTTGTGCAATCACATGTGAATAGCAGTTTCCTTCTAAAATAATGCAAGCAGAATCTGCATGGCTATAAAGAAAAGCTGGACAAACATGAAAACTTGGAGTTCAGCTGTCAAAGGTAATCAAAACATGCCTTAAAAAATGAGAATTCTAAATAGTCTAAGCAAATCTCAGTACATTAGCAATACTGTACTGAGGAAACATACATTAATATTTACCAAAACATAGGGTTAAATGAGAATTCTTTCTCTGAAGAAATCTATTTTTTTATAGAAACTATTAATTGGACTCTCTTATAGCAATCATGTTTTTAGAAGCGAAAGCTGGAGAGTGATGCTAATGGAATCCATTCCTAACTTGCATGTTTTTATGCAGGACCTGTAAGCATCACTACAGTAATCAGCAAAAAAAACCTCCCAAAATATTAATTTGAACTTCATAACTTCCTATAAACCCCCATGATTCAAAGTGTTTAAAAGTGGGATTTTCAAATGCAATTCACCAAAAACATGGAATACAAGAGTTCACATACATACTGATTTTATGCACCATGGAGCATGACAAATTAGCGACTATTGGCCATGATGGCCATTGACCCACTTAAATGCTCTCATTTCCAGAACCACCCTGCCTAAGATGAACACCATGGTCATCAACTGAAGAGATTGAGGAGCTTGAGTCTAAATGGCTTTCAATTCCACTGTAAAAATAAAAATGGGCAAGGAGAAGTCTACCTTTCATGAACTCAGGATAGCCTTGCTAGAGGTTTTCTCTACTCACCCAGTGCAATGCCACTCTACACATCTGTCTGAAGTCACAGCACATGAAACAAACACCCTAAGTCCATAGCCCACACACTGCTGTGGGCTTTCTTACCTATTTAAGAACTAGTTCTGAAGATGATTAGATGAAACAATATTACATAAAGCGGGAGGGGGGAAGGAAGTTTAGGGACTAACCTTTAGCAGTATTTGTTATTCAGTTTTTCCTCAGAGAAGCAAAATTATTACTGTCATTCCACAAACCAGTGGTAACAATGGGAACAGAAGTCCTGTGGATCAGGTTTAACCAAGCTATGAATGGCAGAATGGAAGAACTGGGCCACATCTTGACTCATGTTCATGCTTTATTTTAAAACACGGTATAACTAAACCATAGCCAGAGTTTAAACTTTGGAGAGGGACACACACAATGCAATTTTCTAGTATATCTTACAAAACTGCATCATATTTCCCATCCTCCTTTCAAAAACAACTGCACACAAACCTGCTAAATATGACTGCAATGCAACCAGCATTTTGACTCACGACAAAAGTCAGAGACATTCCCACACATCATCATTCCAAACTGACACAAACCCAAACTTCCACCAAAGTAAGTACTGGCATTTGAACTCATCCATGACACTGGCACACTTGCTCATGAACAGCAGCTGGAAAGTAATTACTTCCTCATACTTGTCTAAATTACAAAAGCACTATGTGTATAGAGTCCAGTAATGTTGTTAATTAACTCTTGTTAAATTTCCGAGAACTTCACCAAACTCTTAGAGACATGAAAATCTCAACAATCTCTCCCCCAAATCTAGTAAAACTCTTAATCCAAGTAGCAGGAAGGATGTCAGTGTACAGTGCACTATGTAACAAACCGTGTTTCATGGATGAGAAACTAAGAAGTGCTAGAAGACTACCACGAACTACTATGACACATAAACAAGAAGTTACTGCAAATAACAAGTCACTGCCTACAATTTATATCATCAGTCTCACTGAGAGCAGAACTTACACGCAGTTCTTGCAGTTACACAATACAGCCCCAGCCGAGAAAGGGGAAGGGAGCCGGGATGCTCCCAACAGCTCCCGGGCAAACTCAGCGTAGGTGTTCTGCTCTTCACAGAATCAGTTAGGTTGGAAAAGACGTTTGATATCAAGCCCAACCTATGACCAAACACCACCATGTCAAAGAGACCGTGGCACTAAAGTGCCACGCCCAGTCGTCTCCTGAACACCTCCAGGGACGGTGACTCCACCACCCACCTAGGCACCCCATTCTAATACCTAACCACCCTTTCTGTGAAGAAATTTTTCCTGATGTCCAACCTGAACCTCCCCTGGAGCAGTCTGAGGCCATTTCCGCTCGTCCTGTCACTTGTTGCCTGGGAGAAGTCACCGACCCACACCTGGCTACAATCTCCTTTCAAGTAGTTGTAGAGTGATGAGGTCTCCCCTGAGCCTCCTCTTCTCCAGGCTGAACAAACCCAGCGCCCTCAGCTGCTCCTCGTAGGACTTGCGCTCCAGCCCCTTCACCAGCTCCTTTGTCTTTCTCCGGTCACGCTTCAGCATCTCCTGAACTGAGAGACCCAGAACTGAACCCAGTACTCGAGGTTCGCTTCTGTGCTTCTGCCCTCCTCTCATTCTCCTCCACGAAGCCCGTAACCTGTTCTGTCAGCCCGAAGGCCCCGAAGGCTGAGAGCCGGTGCGGAGCACGGCCCAGACCCACCCAATGGGAAACGCCACGGCCCAGTGCATCCCGACCTCACGGCACTGCCCGCTCCAAGCCTCCGCAGGGAGCGGCCTCACCTCGGCCAGGCCCTGCGGCTCCCGGCCGCCGCCGATCAGCCACCGCAGCATCAGGAACGGGGCCGGCCCGGCTTCTCCCGCGCCACCGCCGCGCTCAGGCACAGGCCGCTCAATCGAGCGCCGCGCCGAGACCCGCCCTCTGGCGGGCGAGGCCGGGCACGGCCGGAGCAGTCGATGGCCGAGCGGCTGCCCCGGAAGTGGCGGCGTGGGCAGAGCTCCGCGCAGATGGTAATTAAACATTTACTGACGTTTTACCTCGCTGTCTTCCGATTTCAGAGGAAATCTGTGCTATTACCGTTTACCATACTGTAGATTGCCACATTACAATCAGTTATTAACATTTTATTGTGACCGTTTTCATCTCTCCTTGTGAAGTGGAACGACTGCCAAAATGTTCTCTAAGGAGAACGTCTTTCGTCCTCCTTCGCTGAACCTCTCTGAGCCTATGATGTCCTGTCAGGATGGTGTAACAAACATGAGTAAACTCGCATGATTTGTTGTCCTGCTGCTCTTCCACTGCCCTTCACAGAATCACAGGCTCTTGGAATGAGTCAGGTTGGGAGGGACCACAGTGGGTCATCTGGTCCAACCTCCCTGCCCAAGCAAGGTCATCCCAGAGCACATGGAACAGGATTGTGTGCAGGTGGTTTTTGAAGATCTGCAGTGAGGGAGATTCCACAACCTCTCTGGGCGATCTGTTCAGTGCTCCATCACCCACCCATTGCCTCTTGTCCTGTTGCTCAGCACCACTCAGAAGAGCCTGGCTCCATCCTTTTGACACCTACCTTCTAGATAATTATAGACATTGATGAAGTAATGCAGTAATCTTGGAAGCCTTTTTGAGTCTTAGATGAACATGGGGCAAGATCATAAAGCCCATCCCAAAAGGCCACACAAGCCCCCATTCTCAAACAGACATCTGTGACAAAGAAACCCCCAAGGTGCACAGACATGTCCAACAGGCACTGCTCTGAGCATCTGAATATACACAGCTCATTGCCCTCCTGCTTTTTACCCGTGTTTTTTCAGTTAAGCAACACCACACAATGTCTGAGATTTTCCCTAGGGCAGGAGATTATAGTGCTTTTCTAAATCACAGGATCATAGAGTGGCTTGGGTTGGAAGGGACCTTAGAGATCATCTATTTCCAATGCCCCTGCCATGGGCAGGGACACCTTTCACTAGACCAAGTTACTCAAAGGCCCATCCAATCCGGCCTTGAACACATCCAGGGATGGGGCATCCACAACTTCTCTGGGCAACCTGTTCCAGCACCTCACCATCCTCAAGTAAAGAATTTCTTCCTTATATTCAATCTAAATTTACCCTCTTTCAGTTCAAAGCCACTACCCCCGGTCCTGTCACTATGTGCCCTTGTAAAAAGAACCTCTCCAGCTTTCTTGTAAGTTCCCTTTAGGTACTGGAAGGCTACAATAAGGTTGACTCAGATCATTCTCTTCTCCAGCCTGAACAATCTTGATATTCACAGTCTTTATCTGTAGGAGAGGTGTCCATCCCTCCTGAACTTCTATTGGTGACCAGCCTGTGTGAGTAAAGCATGAGATGCATCCGAGATCTAGGATGAAATGACACTGTAGCAACATAAGTTTGACAAGTATTGGTGATGTGTAACCTGAGTATTGCCATTTATTAACTGATGTGAATTCTTTGCAGCTTCACAACAAATTGAAGGTGATGACAACCATAAACCAGTTTTAAAGCAGATGTTTATCTACTTTAGCATACTTCTGCTTTTCCATTTCTGTTCAATTACGCTGATTCTCATCTCAGAGGTGATGTTCCTGCAGACTAAGGGCAAACCCAATGGGATATCTTTGGGATGCAGATACCCCTGCCAAGTTTTCCACAGTAATGTTTTGCCATCACCTATCTGCTCTTCAGTAGTTTCCTTAAATAATTTGGTATCTTCTCCAAACTGGCAAGTGTTGACTCACTTTGTTGCATTTCATTTATTGAAAGGAAGGCCTGCACAGCATAACACTACCTACAGTTGACCTGTAATCCTCAAATGTAGTGTTCATAGTGGTACCTCCAAACAGAAATAAGAGAGGGAAGAGCACTTCCTACACCAGATGCAGGGACAGCAAATGCTGCTTACTCAGGTTAGCAACATGAGTAAGGTTGTTATTGTTTAATGCAGTGAGTAAAATACACTGCTTGACTTTACCCTCTTCATTTTAGCCTATTCTGCTGTATCACAGTCCACACATCAGAAGAAAGAGGATAGAAAAAACGCAGTGTGGTAGTATGCCAAACACCATGTTTGTAGATAAGTGCTGAGCTTTGACCTTCATGGCAGCTTCAGAGGCTCTGGATGTTGCACTATCTTTGTAAAGACCGTGCTGGAATATATTTTTCAAGACAGGAACTGGAAATGCACCAGGTTCCTGCAGGGTGAACATGAAGACTTGCATGGCTTTCATAATGTATTAGCAAGTTTTTGGTAGCAGGGGGCTAAGGGATGGCTTCTGTGAGAAGCTGCCAGAAGCTTCCCCTGTGTCTGATGGAGCCGGTGCCAGCCTGCTGCAAGACAGATCCACCACTGGCCAAGGCTGAGCCCACCAGTGACAGTGGTAGCATCTCTGGGATAACGTATTCAAGAAGAAGGGGGGAAAAACCTGTGCAACAGCAACAGCAGCCCAAGAGAGGACGGAGAATATGTGTGAGGAACAGCTCTGCAGACACCAAGACTAGTGAAGGAGGAGAAGGTGGTTCTCCAAGCACCAGAGCAGAGATTCCCCTGCAGCCCGTGGTGCAGACAATGGTGAGACAGCTGCCTCTCTGCAGCCCATGGAGGTCCAAGATGGATCAGAGATCAGCCTACAGACCATGGAGAACCCCACACCAGAGTAGGTGGACATGCCCAAAGGTGGTTGTGAGCCCATGGGAAGCCCACACTGAAGCAGGGTCCTGGCAGGACCTGTGGCCCTGTGGAGAGAGGAGCCTGTGCTGGAGCAGGTTTGCTGGCAGAACTTGGGACCCCTGGGGGATCCACTCTGCAACAGCCTGTTCCTGAAGGACTGCACCCTGTGGGAGGGACCCACACTGAAGCAGTTCATGAAGAACTACAGCCCATGTGAAGGACCCACATTGAATAAGTTCATGGAGAACTGTTTCCTGTGGGAGGGATCCCATGCTGGAGCACAGGAAGGGTGTGAGGAGTCCTCCTTGTGAGGAGAAAGGAGCAACAGGGACAATGTGAAATGAACTAACCACAGACCTGTTTCCCCATCCCCTTGTGCCACTGGAGAGGAGGCAATAAAGAATTTGTGAATAAGGTCAAGCCCAGAAAGAAGAGAGACATGGAGGGAAAGTGTTGTAAGATTATTTTTTCTTATTTTTCATTATCTTGCTTACTGTGATTTGATTAGCAATAAATTAAATTAAATTTTCCACAAGTCGAGTCTGTTTTCCACATGACAGTAATTGGTGAATAATGTTTTCTGTCCTTATCTTGACCCACAAAACTTTGGTCATATTTTCTCTCCCCTGTACAGCTGAGAAGGGGAGTGATTGAGCAGCTTGGTGGACACTTGACACCTAGCCATGGTCAACCCACCACAGATGAGCTTCAGGAGAGTGCTTTTCATCGTATTAATTAGAACTGACTTCAGAATTCTGCTTCTGAGCACCTTTAAATGCTTTATTTAAAGAATTAACTAATAACACAGTCTCCTTCCAGCACTTTTTCTCCATTTTCCACTTCTCTATCTTTTTAGGTTGTATGAATTTATGTATACTTCTTTTTTGAATACTTCTTGTACTCTAAAAAACCCAGTTTTTGTTATTTCAAACATCTAATGTACTGTACACTTCTTGGAATCAGAAGCAACTTCTCTGTTTCTCTGTATGGTTTGTACAGGTGCTATGTCTGGGTGAAGAGTGCCATCAGCAACAGCATTCCAGTTCCTATGCCAAGATGCAATGTCTTCTGCAGTGTAAGGGCTTGTTGCTGTCAACCATCGGCAAAGGATTGTGCTCAGACTCTTAAACTATATGGAAATGATGGGCTAGTGCTAATGTGGCATTGCTTTTGTCCAGGCTTTTGTAGCCAAATGGAATATTTTTTCTTCCCAACTTCAGCACAATGACTTTCCTTTTAACTTGCCCCAGTGAGATCCTGGCCTCTGCTGCAGTAACTAGGCATAGAAACTGTGACTAGGTTATCTCTTGCTCTCTTAACTAACTTTTACAATATGTCACATTAATGGAATACCTCTTATAAATTGCTGAAGCCTATTACAGTTTCCTCAACTTACACAGCTCAAATTTTTCTACAGATTTTATTAATTGAATAGAATTGCTAGAAACAAGTAAACAATTTACAATGTCTTATTGTAAAAATTAGTTGGAGAGATCTTTACAAAGGAGGGAGTAGAAAACATCATTTTAGTGGTGGCTTCTCTAAATCAGACTGTATACCTTTGAAATATAGTTGTGATTCAGTTTCAAAATCCATACCTAATCCAGACAATATTTTCCCTCCTGTCTAATAAATATATCAGTTGAAAAGTGCCTGCAAGTATTTCATGCTCTGCCAAGATCAAATACAGTCCAAAACACTTTACATATTAAAGAAACAAAGTTAGAAGCAGAGTAGTGCAGCCAACAGATGATATTTCAATGGACAGCATATGCTATAGTCCTCTACAACCAGCATATGTGTCTTAAAAGTGCATGCCGCTATTCCTTATATTCAGTGGTGGTTAAATCCACCCCCTCAGGAAATGGCTAACTTTGCATTCCCCAATCCAGTGAGTGATACAGAAGCTCAGATATCCATTATTCCTGCAGAGAAGTTATCCCTTTCATTCCATGGACCCTCTTAGAGGTATGATGTGGCCCTGGGTGATGGGGGATAGCACAGCTAAGTGTCACATGCATCGTTCTGGTGCTTGAGTTCACTTAGTGACTGAAGGTGATTAAAAGAGTTGAGAAAAAAGTGGACCCCATGGCTCTTGCTGGTACTGTGTTACATCTGCAATGTGCCACCAGGGCATTCCTTCCAGAATCTGATGCATTTGATCACATCAGCACCTATCTCACATCTAACCCTCAGGAGAGGGGTAGGAGATCATC